GGTCCCTTCCGACCCTAGAAACTATGAAACTATGAAATTCCCTATTAAACTAAATAACAGCATTGTAATACATTCCATGTTTTACTTTATATCTCTGTATCTTTCTCTATATATAAGTGTGTGTGTGTAGATACAGATATCTATAGATAATGTTTTATTTTTGGGCTGCATATTTAATAGACATTGGGCATGTCTACATGTGACGGTACCTCGTTGTAGCAATGCACTATGGTGATGTTAGCATCTGTTGGGTGTATATGTGACCAGCAGCTACTTCACCATAACAACACGCTCCCCAAGTATAATGTGCCATTCTGGTGAAGTAGCTTCTAAAAATAACCATGCGCCGTGTGTACGGCACAGTATGGGCTGTTACCGCGCTGTGATTTAGTACTTCCAAATGGCAGTAACAACATTGTCATAGCGACACATGTAGACGCACTCATAATCAACTATAATTTTACTGAGTAATTACAGTTCTTAGCCGCATATTTGTAAAAATGTATGTCCATTTGTTAATAACTATTCATTTGGCTGGTATTGTTTTCTCTGGAGTTCTTTGCAGTCCTCTTTAGTTCTGATTTGCTTAAGTAATGTTGTGTCATCATATAGCCATCTTTTTTTCTTTTTAAATAATGCATATTCCACACAATACCAGCACTATTAATGATCTTTGTTTGCACTGAAAATGAGCAATTTCTCTGTTCTTTATTTTTTTTTTTCTGTTCAACTTCTAATGTATGAGAGAACTTGACATTTTATCCAATAATTAGATAGTCTCTTTAATAGTTAATTGTGAAGGACTTTTGACAAAGCTTTTTGAAAGTCCAAAAAAATTAGATCTTCTGTTTCACAGTTTGTTTACTCTTGTTGATTCACTTGAAGCAATGTAGAAGATTGAAGGACCACTTTACCCCATAATGAACATTTGCTGTTAAAAAAAAAAAAATCAATAACCTATAACACATGAAAATAAGTATCACTGATGTGTACTCTGTTTGAACCTTCTCGTATGTTTTCATTTAGTCTGATTTAAGAAATAGATTTTTAAAAATATTATGTGAAACGTGGTATATTCAGTATATTACTTTCAACTTTTTAAAGAGGGTGAAGACATAACTTGACTAGCTTTTAAGTACTACTGAAAAAAAGCATATTAGAGAACCCTTTTTTAACCACAGAAGATGTAATGGATGGAAGCTGAAGTGAAAGAAATTCATTTTGGATACAAGATGTAGTTCCTCCCACAAGTGATTCACGACTGATTTGCCATCAGAACAGCTTCCTAAAGGAAGGGATGAATTTTACCATCATTTGGAGTCTGTAAAAAGGCACAAGCCATTTCTAAAAGAGATTCTTGATTTCAGGCACAAGCTGTTGTATTTTAATGCATTCGCTTATTTATTAGAAAATCAGTAATTTTTACTATTGTAGGAATTAATTTATGAATTTATAGTTAAAAAATCAATTTCATATTCATCCAATTTTTTATGCATCAGACATGTTCCTTTTTCAAACTGTAGGACTACTTGTGTTGCCCATGTTGCCCTTGCTCTGTGGAAAAGTCGGTGGGTTCTCCTTACCCCAGGTGGATGTTGCAGAACGGGATAATCAGTGTGAAAATTTAGCTTCCCAGTTGTGTAAGCCACGTTGTTGGCATCCATTTTGTCTTGCACTTGCCAAGTAGGTCTTTACAGTGAAAGAAAAAGAGACGCAGCATATGTTAAAACAGTCTGACACTTAACCAGGCAGTGGAATCTTGATATAAAAAGCTATTCAAAATCTGCTGGATATAATATTATTATAATGTTAAAGGAATAATGAGGCTCCAGTGTGATAAACTGGCTATTTCAGAAACAGTGCAATAGAAAAGAATCACTTCTGAATGAGTTTAGACGTACATGCTCAAATGTGGGAGGGGGAGGAGTGAATTGGATAAGTCAGCTGTTGTGGTCTACTGCTGAACTTACTACCTGTCCTTTTCTAGTAAAAAGTTCTAGAGCAGTGACTCTCAGTCAGGGTGTCTTGGGATCTTTTCATGGGTGTTGCAGACTGCCATGCAGTGTTAGCACTGTTAGGTGTGCAAACATGATGCACAAAATAAAATCAGTAATTTCAAATGAGAATCCACAGTGTTAAAAAAAATTCTGGCCTGTTGCAGTCTTTCTGAGTTCTTTGCAACAAAAAAAAAG